AAATTTACAATAAATTCTCAATGTAATACAATTGTAGTCAATAAATGGAAGAATAGCGTTTATGTATATAGTATGTCAATATTTATAAAAATATCTATTTCAATAATTAAAACTATACATAAAATTAGGCACCAAATTTAATTACAAATTTTACCGGAGAGATTAGGAGGATAACGAATTTAATTACAGCTTTAATTACTTAATCCTTTGAGATTCGCTCGTTTCGCAAGGAAGCCATCTGCTTGAATGCTCAGCTCTCGTGCACTACTGGCTTCCTTAGAAATTCATACCGTTAGAGGTGTTACTTTACATACAAACTTAGTCCTAGAAACTTGTAATCTTCTGCAATTTAATCATTATGGTTTAAAACTTATTTCTCAACATTTGAAAGTTGCTTATGCAATTTTTTTTATAACATTTTAATTTATTCAACAATTATGTGTATATGGTATATGTACACATACACACACGCGCGCGCGTTTATGTATGTATGATGACTGGAATATATTAATATATTCAATATTGTGTGTATAAACGCAAATATGTTTTCAAAAATATAGATTTTTATATAAATAATTAAAATAAATGTTATACTTTGTAGTATTATTCGGTTTTTTAAGTTATAATTCGCATATTTAAAAAAAAATGATAATTACAATGTCTTGGATATTAAACTTTGTTAAAATGTTTGCATTATATTATAATTCTACTACTTTTATCTATATAATTAAAATTGATATCTATTAAATGTGTAGGAAGGAATCATATTAATATCATTCCATATTTTAAGAGATTGTAATAATTATTACAAAATCTTATTTAATATTCGCATAGTATTATTATAGAGGTCTTTTGCAATTTAAAATGAATTAAACGACGGTCTTAAATATAATGATAAACTATATATGATAGTCAAAGATTAAAGATTAAGTACACGAAGATTATATCACAAATAGATTCAAAATGTAAAAATTAATACCTAATAAAAGTTACTAAATTAAAATTTGTTACTAGTACTAAAGAGAAAAGTAACTGTAATATACAGTAACGACATTACAAGTAATGTATTGTCTCTCATTTCTGCAAATATGATATGTATAATTTTTTTTATATCTGCGTAATATTAAAAATTCTCTGTGGCACTTTACGTTTTCAAAAAATAAGATCCATATTTTAAAATATTCTGAATGTACAGATCCAAATTTATACAAATGAATACCGATTTATGAATATTAAGTTTTAACAAGCAGGAAGAAGAATATATATATTTTTGTTTTTAAAAAATCACATTTAGAAAGACAAATTTTTAAGTTATGTAAAATCCCAAACAGAAATGCGCACGTAAGATTGTTGAAAAGACGTTGCTAAATTTGTATTGTTTCCTTATCTTCTTTTCTGTTTGAGAGTGAGTTTCTCCATGCTTGTACGAACTGTTCATTCAATGGTAAGAGAACTCGAGTTTCAAGGACAGTGAAGAAGTGCACAGCTACTGTCTCTGTAGTTTGGTTTGGTTCTCGATTGCATTTTCACTGTAAGCTTTCTTTTGTTTGCATGCGCAATGCAGTATGTACAAAAAAGATACACGTAATCATTTTTATAACATTTTTTCGATTCTACCATAACAGTTAATTGTAATCAAATTGAAAAATTCCCCAGTAATTAACGAATGTATTCTAATAATCACGAACCTGCAACCATAATCAGTACTATCTTAGTCTCTATTATTTTTAGAAAAAGTAAATAAAAGATATTTGAGAAATCAAATCATAATCAATAAAGACTATATAGAAGGATATCTGTAAAAATCTGCAAATCTCGAGACAGATATAAGTTGAAACTATTTTACGTTTATTAAAGGTTAATATACGTAATTATAACATTTACGCATATTTAATGTGATAGGAATTTGGAAAGATAAACTTCATCCCCTCTCCTTTATATATTTCACCATTCTTCTAAATCTTACATTGTGTGAAAAAGTGTTGTTTGCAATGAGACAAGAGTAAACCGACAATCTTAATTATACCTGATGACTGGTTTCTGTACTTTCCCGCCTAAACGCTTTGACATTTTATGCAATTAGCGAACCCACGGAAACCAACGCACTTCAAAGTGCCTTTTTTCGGAGCACAGCGGTAAAGGATACGACGCGACATAGGAAGGACGAGCAGAAGGGAAACGGCTCGTCTGGAAAATAACGTATCCTTCCCATTTGGCTGAATAATTGGGTCCCGCACTTTCTCAGTGTAGGCGTCCTCATCCTTTCTATCTCCCTTTCGTCCTCTCGCTCTCTTCACTCGACTTCGCCAACCTCGCTCGAAAGACTCTCACTTTAATGCACTTATTGTTAATGCGATTCCGCCGGGTTTTCCGCCTGATGGTTACCTACCTTTCGTTGACAACGCAACATCGTTTACTCCGTCGCTACAGCGACGTATGTATATCTACGTGCCTTTTTCATCTCAATCCATTCTAGGTCCACACACGTCAGAAAAATTGGATTTGGAATGTCGAGAGTTCAGATATTCACGAGAAAATTCTCAAACCGCAAGGAATTGCGTCATACTCAGAGATTTTCTTATTTTTGCATTGATAATATTCTCTAATCTTGCAATTATATAATAATCTTAATTATTTTTTTCAATAAAATGGCGTAGAATGTGCGCGTGTATTAAAGAATTAATACATAAAATATTTCTCGCTAAACTAAAGTGTATTAAAAATTTAATTAAGTTAGATCATCAAGAACTGATAGATATGTTCTTTATCTTTTTAAAAAAAATTGTCTATATGTTTTAAATTTTGTTCTTCATTCTTTTCTGTACTGTGATCCTTTTCTTACAAAGTTACAAAGGAAGAAAATGTGTATATGTTGTATGATCATACTTTAAATAAAATTACCCTTAACTTTCTTTATCTCAAAGATTCACGCGGCACGTCGTTGCACTCGACAAAATCCTAATAAAAATCATAATGTTTTATACGAGACAAAACCGACGATTGCCAATAATGGGAAAAGCTCGAGAACAAAGGATCTCTCGTCGGAGTGAAATAACAACGACCAAGGTTTTCCCTCGGCCATTCATTTTCCATTTTATAGCCGGCCACAACGGTAAACGCGCGCGTGCCTGCGAAATCCGAACCGCATAAAAGCACTCCATTCAGTCTATAATGCGCTGTCATGGTCCACGCCACCGCGGATTCAGCTGCATTGACGGAACCTTTTTTTTTTTTAGCGGAACTTCGGGGCGCGGTGGAATAAAAAACGCGTACCCGACGATAGATGTAAAATATGTAGCAGCCGCGTCGTCGGAACAGAAACGAATAAAACGGCTGGGCCGACGGGGAAGGGGAGGGCGAGATCCGGTGTAAAATCGCCGGTCGACGCGCGCTTAGTGACAGATAATGCGGGTATTATACGAAACGGACGATGCTCGCCATCGATCCCGATCTGCCTCGCGCGTGATTGCGTTAATCGGCTTAACGGTCGCCTGCGCGCCGGCCAAACAAATTGCCCGTAAGCGACGTTTCCTCGTACACCCTGCATATAGTCCTCTACGTCCCGACACGACGCGACGTCACCGCGATACTGACATGGCGAAAGAGGGTTTTCGTTTACCTCGGATCTACAATAGATTTTTAAGCCTTATGCCATAAGAAATGGATGAATTACAATTAATTATTCTCCTTGTATTTGACTGTAATTGGTCAGTTTCTTACAGCTTAAGGCTTAAAGCTACCTTTTCTGATATATGCTTTATTTTTATTCAATTTATTTTATTGTTTATTATAGAATTTTTATGCCTATAAACTACAATAAAATTTATTGAAATATTGTGCATGATATACCCAAAATTTGTTAAGATTTCTACAATTTCTAAAAATACATTAATTTGATTTTTTAATATATAATTTTTTAACACTTTTAATATATAATCTTAATTAATATTGTTAAGATTTTAATTAATTATTAACATACTTTCTTTTAAGAGAAAGATGTAAAACACACTTTTGAAATTTTAGTATGTTTAATGTGTTATTATGTAGATTACACACACGTTTTGCAAAACAGTAAATTATATTAGCTAATCCTTGTATATAAGGAAATAACGTTTGCGTAATTGGACCAATGCCAAACTCGAAACTTGGAGTATTAGTTGTAAAACTCATTAGCGCGGGATGTCAACTAATTTTGATAGAATTTCTTGTTAAGTGATTTACTAAACGGCACCCATGATTTATGTCAAACGATTTGTATCAAATGTTTTCAACAAGATGTCACTTCAACAAATATAATTAAGCAGTAATTAATTATGATATATATTACAAAAATTGATTGGATTAAATTGTATGGATTTTGATTAATTGTAATTGGTTTTTGATAAATTGCTGAGTCTTGTGTTTTTTTAATCTTTTGTATAATTAATTTTTTGTTTTTGATAAATTGCTGAGTCTTGTGTTTTTTTAATCTTTTGTATAATTAATTTTTTAGTTCAATTTCAAAGAAATGAAACAATTAAATAAAACTAGAATAATGCTAGAATTAGAATGACGTACTAGAACTGTTTCTTTTTTTGTTATTGAAACTAAAAACACTCGAATAATTTTTAATCTTTGAATAATAATAAATTTAAATATTATACTTTCTATTAATTATTATGTCATTTTATTATTTATTGAGTCTTTATCATAAATAAGCTGAAGTAATAAATAACAAATTTCATTATTCTATAAGAACATTTAATACTTTGTTACTATAATACGATTATGGTAACAATCATATAACTTATTTTCTCGTGGGCAAAAACGTGAAAGATGAAAAAATTTTCTCCATTACCTACAATAATAAAAATTTTCATTTCTCGTGTTTCTGCTTCATGGAAAAGTTACACAATCACCTACCCAAATAGTAATAATAGAAAAAGCTGCTATATTAAATTACAGTTATAAGTTCGTTTTATTTTCAAAAAATTTAAACTTAAAACATTTATATATTCTCGATTCTGTATTACCAAATATGCTGTTAGGTGATCCTAACAGATATTGCTAGGACATTTTGGTAAATTAGACCAGTAGCAAGGATAGCAACTTGATCCTTTGTTTGTGTATCGAATGCAAAATCGAACACAGGAGGATGGAGGCAATATTTTTGGTGCTGACGGGCTACAATATGATTTTGAAGCTGTTTGTTGTGGACAAGGTCCAGCGATGCATATAGTAGGTGGTAATGGCGGTAGCTCTGGTCTTGGTCTACAAATCTATAAAAATAAATTCTGATATTGTAAAAAATAATATTATAATCTCTTTATGTATACTTATCTATAAACATATAATGTATTCTTCTTTATTCAAAGAAAGGCAAAATAATCATATTGTTATCATATTATAAAAATTGTAAAACAAAAGTTATTTTTGCGACAATCTTACTTTTCTTGCTGTACATTAATTAAATTCTATTTATTTAATATTTATCCTCAAATTTCATTTAAGGCAACTGTATGAATTATATAAACTATATCAAATTTACACTTTCATAATATCCTTAAAAATGAATGTTATTTATACCAATGGTGGACACGAAGGTGGGCAATGACAATATTTAGGAAGACTTGGTCCTGGGAACAAACAGCCATTGCTTGTACAACAAAATGGTTTGCGGTGATAACACGGTGGAGGCAATGTACTTAGTCGTTTCTTCTTTTTGTAACCAGTGGAGCAGGACATTCTTATTTTTGACTTGAAAAATTTAGATGTTACATTTCATGAAAATTTTTAAATATCTAATCTAATATTTCTGTCTAATCGATTAACAATCTTTTGTTTGAGAAAATCGATATGTTCCTTTTTATAATATACTCTGTGTAAAATTTACTTTTTTTTTTTAAATAATCTTAACATAACTTTAAAAATTGTCTGAAGTAAAATTTTTTATATTCTAAAATTAATTATACTAAAATATTTTATATCTTTCCTTTCGATCTTTTCTAGGCAATAATATTCTCATATAATTATTAATTGATGATTACGCATGATTATTTTGACATGTTAAAACTGGTTTTCCTGTACAGTCAAACCACTTGAGACAACAGCACGTTACTTTCTTTGACGGTTTTTCAGGAGTATGACAACGCGGAATAGCAGGGAAATAACAGGGAGAATAAGAAATTCTATAAAAAATAAATAAATATGAAAATCCATAAAATATTATAAATTCTTGTAATTATATATGTTATTTATAATTTTAGTCTACTTTTAAATATTATCTAAATGCACAAAGCAAAATTGTTAAAAATTTAATGTAGCTATCAATCTACTCGCTTAATGTAATGTAAAATATATAAGAATTATTTTATATAACATACCTGTCACAAGTATATGTCAACTGGAATTGAACAGCAGATTCATAGGGACGCGATGATACGTCAAATAAATATTTCGGACATGCATAATCATCACGATGTAATCTTGAAGAACATCGTGAAGGAACACTAGGTGGAAATTTTGCAAAGATGTCTTCAAGAGTCGACATGTTAATTTTAATCGTAATATGTTGCACTTTTCTACATTGTAATAATTTTTCGAAAAACAGATTAATTTTGATTGGGCAAATATCAAATGTCAAAATTAATTTATATTGTGTAGCTTGTGGTTTTGCATTATCATGAATTTGGCGAGATTGTGTATATATATAATAATATATATATATATAATATGATAAATTAATAATATCCCCCAATAATTTATTTTCAACGTAAAGAAAGACTTTAATTGAACATAGAAAATGTTGTCATATATAATTTTCTTATATGTATATATATCACCATCTATTAAAAACTATACTTAAAATATATAAATAGATTATATTAGTTTAGTTCTCTATATTTTAGTGTATTATAATGTAATATAATGCTATTAGTAATAATAACTGATATTATCAATTGCTTAACAAAGTGTACAATAAAAATGTAATCTTTTAATCTTTATGTTTTAATGGGAGGAATAACATTAAAAAATTAAAATGTCTTAAACATGAAGCATTAAATATTATAAATATTAATACTTGCATAAATGTGGAAAGAAAAAGGTCATCTTTTCTTCATCTCTTGTGTAATCAATACAAAGATAAACGTATGTCGAGGAAATGAGATTGACACTTCTCGTTAGAAAAGTGCACATTTTGTGAAAAAAAGGAAACAAAAGGCATGTTCATAATCACAACAGATATTATATAATAAACCGTATTTTTACAGTGGCAGATACATACAATGTAAAATGAACAAGGATACCTTTACGAAATATACACGCATTAAGTCGTATGTTGATCCAGGAATCGACCGGCGATACTATGTACAACACAACCACGTAAGCGTGCGCGATGTACCACCATCCAACTGGCAGGCAACGCGGTTGCACTTTTGAATTTGGCACGCGGTGCATCTATTCACCTATATCCTTGTCCCGGCGTCTCCCTCTTTCTCTAAGTACGTGTACCTATGTGTATATGTATATGTGTACGTATGCCACTGTTATCCGCTTGTCTAAATGCACTCGCCTTCAGTCAAACGAGACACCGGAACGTGCGTCTTGGCTGATCTCCTTGTTTCCCAGAAGTGGAAGGAAAAAGACGTCTAACATATTGAAACTCGTTGATTGTGTCGATTAAAAAGTTATAAAAAAGAATTCAATTTCCGAATAAATTATAGACGTCGTAGATGTAGAAATCAGCCAAGACGCCGCTATCGCTCCTCCTCGATCCTAGTCAAATGAACCGTATAAGTTAGCGTACACTGCGTACATCGACTAAGAAACGTAAAAGGAAAACAATAAGTACATAAACATGATAATATTACAACGAATCGTTATGTTGTATTATATATATGTACACGTTTTCTTCTCATACACTTCCTCGGGAAATGTACAGGGAAACAATTGGAGAAACGGAAGAAATGTCAGTCCGAAGAAAATAAAAAACAATAAAAGTTACAAAGACGAATAAAGGAGAAGACATCGACAACGTGCGTCGATTAGCAACGATCTCGCTAACAACGATCTACGTGTGTTAATATTTAAGTACATTGATTAAACGACATTTTTCATAAGTACCACAATAAGTACCTAAGCGATCGCTTCCTTATATGCTGCTTTACAATTATTCGTTTAATTTCCTTCGCTTAACTTTGTTCCTCCTTGTTACCTTTTGATTTTCGGGACGGACGGAAGGTGGCTCGAAAAACCAAGTCCATTTTTGCCGAACAACTCGCAATGACGACGGCGATTTTTCTTATCGTAAAAATCGTATCGTTCGATTTACAGTTAATCAATGATAATTTCTTTTAATCGATTATCCAATTTAGTCTCTTACAATCGAAGCAATAATATTTTAACACTTTATCTGTGTGGAAAAATAGTAATATATGCTTCGATATTTAACGTGACTAAATAAATTATTCGATGCGAGTTAACGACATCAAAAATCGCGCGATCAAAACGATGCTGCATAAATAAATTTATAGTATTGCGGAAATATTTATATATATTTACGTATTCATTTGTTAGAATTACTACGCGTGACAATCTACTACTCTTAAAAATTATCCAAGAATCGAGACCATCACCAAACATATAATTTATATAACTTATAATTTATAATTAATATTTAATTTATAATTTACAAGTGCATAAATGCATTTATAATTTACGGCTGCAGATCTCTCTTACATAATGCAAAATCGTAGCATCATTGTCTTCCCCACATATCGTTTATAAAATTATAAAATACTATTATATAGTACAATTCGATTATTCGCTTCGATTGAACTTGAAGAAGATTTTCTCTCGCCTCATTGCTGAGTCGCCGGCTTAATGAATGATACACGCTCTCTATAACTTCTTCATTCTTCTATACTGTCGCGTTACATTTTAAATAACTAATCTATATACAATGCATACACACACGCCTCAGTTATCCCTCATGTAATATCTCCCTTGGCCTTCCTCGACGTTTACCCTCGATCCGTTTCGAAAAACCGAAAGTGCAGCCATTAATTTGAAAGACAAAAAGCTGCGAGGCGCAATACTGATATCTCACGGGATATTATCAATTACTATACACGGGACTGAGGAAATTCTTTTACTAGCTACGATGTACATAGCTGAGCGCAATCAGATCGTAGATATGAACTCACACTCGAGGATCGGCTCGACAAGCGATTTTCGCAACTATAATTATTATTACAGAGCGGAAGCACCGTCTAAACTCTTGAGAAAAATTGTATTTCGCAAGCTTTATCCTCGTGCGAGAATTTCTATACGCTTTTCGTCATCTCTCTCCTCGGTCCTCATGATAAATGCGACACGATATCGTATGTATAATAGACAACGATAGTGTAAGACATATCTCCGCTAGTCTTTAACAGCTAATCTTAAGTAATTTACGGGGTGTTTTATTACCGGCTAATACGGGATGATAGAGTCTATGGTACCCGAACTCACGATCACTCATTCTGTGCTACCACGCGGTGCGATGACCTTGAGCAAGTTCCTCATGATACTTCGTAATCCGTTCGACCCTGTTCGCTTAAGTACTAGCCACTTCACATCAATATCACAGTCTCCTCGTGGATGTTAACCCCTACTGCATATCCTACGTTCGGTAGAACGTATCTATCCTTTTGAGCCGGGTGAGCTTGCCGGAAATGCAAGTCCCCTTCCTGTGGAAGGTACGATCACCTCACTTCGTGATTCAGGTCACGATTCGATCACGAAGTGATAACTACCCTATGTACTTTTCTTTTCTTTTCTTTTTGATGAAAAAAATAACAGTAAGGGTGCAGCGTAATCTTGAGTGCATACAATTTCGTTTTTCATGCAGAACGACGATAATCGCTCAGTTTGAGCCTAACTCTACTCAAGATAATTAGAATATTCAATTATAATATCGCGTGATAGACATTTAAGTGTAAGATATTATCTGTACTGTCGGGAACTCCGCTTATACGCGTACTTCGCGACATCTATTGCTTCTACTTAATCGGCTGACGAGATGTAGCCTGTTATTATCGGTGCGTGAAACTTTGTGTCCCGTGTCACGTCATCCGGGCGTCTGCTTATGCGTATATGCGTGTTTTATTTTTATTCTTATTGAGGTCGTTAAGGCTGTGCGCGTATATACTTACCTATCTATTAAGTATATTTTACGCTGATATTTGTGCTGGTTCAATTCGCTCCTATCGTCGTTGCTACTAAGCGCCAATTTGACAAGAATAATCTTTGCGCTTTTTCGGCCCAGTTTCTTGATGGATTTCACGGTAAACTTATATCTACTAAAATACAATTGAAAAGTTCCCAAACTAATGCTATCAGGTGAAAAACCATCGGTGTTACAAGAATGGAGTAGAGACCACAAATCTCATAAGTTAAATAAGCTTAATAAGCCATGTAGTATAATGCTGTAATTACTGAATATAGTATTGCTTGCGGTTCTATTCATAAATGTAGGTGCTGTGTGAGAGAGACACAAAATTGGAGTAAAATGTATAATACATCAAATTCTGCACGAAAACATCTCCAAAGTCCATCAAACATTCGATCGTTAAATTAATCTATTGATTCGTGAAGAGAACAATTGCTTAATTGTGGTTTTTTAAACGTTTTTAGGAGTTGTCCATGCAACTCACAAATTTTTTCTAATTTCCAAAGACTTGTGTAAGCATTTGATAGTTTTAACTTCACATAAAATTTACATGCGCGTTACTTCAGTTTTTCATTACCACTACCGTAGATAAACACTTAGATCGTCGAACAAAGGGCAAACATCATAGCGCTTAATAATTGCAACATCATACTACCAGCATATTGATTCATGAGATTTATTTCCACGTTCTGGAATATTCTTGTACTATCGTTCGTTTCCATCTTGCGGTATCAGTTCGAGAACTTTTTAATGACACTTTGCATACCGTTACTACCCATTCGGAAACTTGACGATGTTTATGATCGGGTCGAGGACACGTGGCTCACGTGTAGTATTTTCGATCGTGTGCAAGGTCGGAGCGCGGGCGAACGTGTAGCCGCTATGTGCTTGAGTGGAAATACTTGGCGACATTATTAATAAACTCCTGACGCTACAACTGCACTTGAAACGCCTGCGTCGCATTCGGCATAATAAAGGGATTCGTCGTGGTCGACTGTTGCATATTTCTGGAAGCAATTTCCGCCCATTCTACGTCGAAGGGATCAGAAGGTCCTCTGGAAGTCAGACTCATTGCAGCCGAGCCAAGCGAATGTGCCCTCGTATGAAGAGGAGGTGCTCGCCGAGGACTAACAGTTACTTGCTGTGGTGCCGATGATGGTACAGAGCCAGTTATACTACCCAACCATTGTTCTGGTTTCGGTAAACCAGCTGCTGTAGAAAGCGGTTGCACCTGTTAGATGGAGAAACTCGTGAAAGGATGGTTTAAGTCAATTGAAATTTACGTTATAATATAATCAAGAAGCTAATTTTTATATTGGCTAAAGAATAAAACGAGAAATTTTTAAAGATTAAAATTTAATGCATTAAATATCCATTTTAGAAAGCTTCCAAAATGTAAACGTTCTCAAAGATTATAATAATACTTTGTATTTCAATAAAATTTTTTTCTTTAATGATTTCTGTAAAGATTGTTCAAAGTTTATATATAAATAACTTTAATAAAAAATTTTTAATTTATATTTTAGATATATATGTATATATGTATATCTATACATATATATATATATATATACACTTAGAAAATATTTATTGGAAAATAATTTATATATAAACATAAGTAAATAAAAGTGTTTATATATTACATTTAATTCTTACTTAATCTTGTTAATATAAATTTAACACAACCAAAAAGTTTTGTTAAGATAAAAAAATTATCTTTGTATATAGTAAGTATTTAACTTACTAAAGCCGTCGGGATTCCGGTTGCCGATGAAACTTGAACAACATCAGTCGAGATTGGTACCGCCGGGGAAATAGACGCTATGCTGGTACTAGGAGAACTTGATTTTGGCGTTATCACGGAATTTATTGGGATCGGCGATCTGTTCACGGCCGGCGTAGACGTATTTCCTAAAGAGGACGTAGAAGCCGTGCTGAAAGCAGGACTTGCTGCCGATGGCGGCGTGCCGAAGGCGCCTACACTAGAGGAAACAGGTGCCGGTGTGCTCATAACGACCGGAGTGGGCGCGTTCGTCCTTGGAAGAACGGGACTCAAGTTGCTCGCCTTAAGGAGAGGCGTAAGCCTGTGATTCGACGCGAGAACAGGGGATGCAGACTCTTGCCAACTGGGCGTAACATGATTCAGATTATTGAGCTCTTCATTCTTGTCATTGTTATCGTTGTTATTGATATTGGGACCATTCTGCAGTTTCATCTCATCCAACGAGTTGCTACTCGTTACTAGAATAGGATAATGATTTATTTGTAAAAATTATAATATGTATGAAGATGTCGTCTACATAAGATTATTGAGATAGAGAATTAAATAAGTAACTCTCACAATTTTGTTGAAAAGTCATACCTGGAGGAGAGTTAGTAGTGGTACTGGTGAAAAGCTGTTTAGCTACGGAGCTCGCGGCAGATTGGGACGACGGCAATGGTCCAAAGTCATCGCTGCTCGAAAGTAGAGAAAGTCCTTGAGAAAGCTGCTGACACATTGCGGAAACGCTGTCGTGATCACCGGAAAATATTTCTGGTATTGGACTCACTGTGAATAAAACAGAAGATCACGTTTATCAATACATTTAAGGCATCTCTAATTTTGTGACATGGGTGCTAGGACGTATTCTACAAGAGGCATGCTACAGGACGCCTAAATGTATGTACATATGTTGAGTTATGTAATATAAAGTGAGAGTATGAAGAACGATGAACATACGATGTAAGTTGAATATTTTTCAAGCACAAACAATATAGATACACGAGGGGCGGTTTAAAATTACAAGGGTTCTAGCTACACGCTCGCAGTTTCGTGATACCAGTTTATGTTTGTTAATTGAATTATATGGTGAACCGTGTGCATGGAAAACGAGCATGATGTTCAAGGGTACATCGACAAGCAAGCAACAATAAAGAACAGAATAAGGAGTAATGACCTTCGTCATATCCTTCGAATTCTGTTGTAAGACAAAAAAGTATATTGTTATTTATCGATCAAATTGATTTAAATTAATAGTACATAATCAACGTAGTTGTGCGTATCATATGTTGTAGCGTATTCTCTCATTTATTAATACTTAATTTAATAAGATTGTAAATAAAATCGAAATGAGACATTTCAGAGCCGTGAACGCTCACCTGGGGGTTTCGAAGGTACAATATGCGAATGAGCTGAAGGCATTCGCGCCAGATCCGTTGGCTCAAGACTGTGACTACGTGTGCGTTCAAGAGTACTAGGAAGATCGTTGACTCGTAAACTAAGTTGCCTTTTAAATGGGGATGCTTGACTTAGCTGTGAAAAACCCCGGAAGGAACCTTGCCGCTCGAGCATAGATAAAGTAGCGTGCGGTCTCTCAATTGCAAAAGGATTATACACTTGCCTAACCGGAGGAATTTCTGAAACAAATATTTCACATTATAAATATTAAAATATAAATAAAAAATATATTGCTAATAAAGTAATGAGCAATATTTTTTATAATTTATAGAGATCATATAATATATTAAAAACGAATTAAATTTTATTTAAAACATTTGAAATATTGAAAATATGCTTAATTTTAATTCATTACATTATATACAGGTAATTATTCAAATTGTATAAACAGGCCATTATCGTCCTCTCAAAAGATTATTCACCGCCAATAAATCTATCCAAAACTTATTTCGTGAATTAAACGCTCCCACCTCTTCATCGTCTCGTTGAATGAAAGAGACAGAGAAAAAAAGGGTAGACGTTAGAGCAATCAAATCACTGAACGGAGCTCTAGCGTTTATTTTTATTGTTTCCTCTGTTTCATTCAATGAGACGGTGAAAGCGTTTATTCATGAACTAAGTTTTAGACAGTACTGAACTTCACACCTACAAAAAGTCCAGTACTTCATCGCTTTTAAAATGCATGGTACTATGACTGTTAAATCAGAAAACCATTAAGCATCAAAGAAAGAGAAGACTGGCCTACAGATTAAACTTTTCTTTTTTTTAATTCGTCTAACTATAACTTTATGCATATTGTAGTCAACACAACAGGTGGACGTTTAGAAATTTATGTAACCCACCTGCTGCACGATCACGCGCTTCTTGTAACCGCTCCGCGAGATTCGGTTGCCTAAAGCTGCCACTTCTCGTGAAGATGGAAGTCTTCGAATCGAAAGTCATTGTAACTCCGCATTCTTTGTCTCGCCGTTGCTTCCTCTCCAGGCATGCAGCAAAGGCACAGCCTACTGCATGACTCAATCTTTCTCCCTTGATGATAAAGAACAACTTCATTAAGAGATATGCCCTCATATTATCCTTATATAAGAGTCTTTTAAAAATTAATATATTATTTATATTTTTAAACAAACCATTAAAGTAAACCAAGATTAAAAATGTGCACTTTATATTGTAAACAGAAGATATATATATATTGAATTTTGCATATATATATATATATATAATATATAAAAATTTCAATAGCAATATATAACAACATCCTAGCAAATAAATTGATAATTTAGTTGTTGCCGGGTTGACATTAAGCTGACTCAGAGTTGATGACAAGTACGGTGTGCTATTTGTAACAGCAATAAACTCGTATTTTGCTAGTAAAGCATGCATATTAACCAGACAAATTGACAGTAAAAACCGAAAATAAAACTTTAGTCGGTTTTGGTTTTGATCGGTTATTGCCGTCAAATTGCTGTCAGGTTGTCAGTAGGCTTTACGGGGTTTTACCAACAATATATTCACACACATTGCATCAGCAGATTGTATAACTGCTACTAATTTGCTAACATTATTAAGTATATTATAGAATTTGCGTTAAATTTGGTGCTTTTTTGTCGATATTTGTAACAAGCATTTGATAAAATTTGTTTTTAATAGACTTGGTTGACTGGGATAGAACACGCATTACAATTTTACAAAATTTCCAATTACACAGAATGCTACATTTACGTCTTAATTATCATACTATCTGATGCTATATTCGCATTAATTAGATCATAAGAAAAGTACTCTCATTATCCATGTAAAAGTCCTTTAAAAACTAGTATGTTATTTATATTTTTAAGCAAAAACTGAAACTAAAATATACATATTACATTAAAAACAGCAAGATTTCCAATAACCCAAATAGTAATTATCAATAAATCTATTAGCAATTAGAGACTTATATATATATATATATATATATATATATATATAAAATATATTATAAAATTAAAATATATTATAATACATCTCAATTTAACTTATTTACATATTGGGTTATCATATATATACATATGTATATATGTATATACATTGTGTTATCACCACCATACCGTCTGATGCTGCATATATTTGCAATTCGACTCAATGAATACCCCTTATCGACAGAGTACAGCATCCCTTATGTATATTGGGGATAATTTTCTATTCGAATGGAATGAAATGGCATCTAACTTACCGATTCCTTTAATGCTAAAAATCCGTGGCACATCCACCGCCTTGTCGTACCATCCCTGCAAATGTAACTGAATCCCTTCTCATGATTCCTATCCGGCGCACAAAACGACACCTTTTCGATTGTTTGATCGACAATTAACCCTTTTGTTTCGTCCTCGACAACACGCAATCCGTCACCAGATACGTGAAGTACTGCTCGTACTGGTCTTCTTCTTGAGTTCTGAAAGTTTAGTCACGAATTATCTAGGCCGTCCAAAGTTGCCCTTTGACCTTTACATTGATTTATTTTCAGGTCGCTTTAGTGTCAATGTCGACTCTTTATATGTAAGCCATGCTAAATATAGTCGAGGCGAAAGACTCGGAGAATGTGACATGCTTGGCTTTCGCAAGGCTTATAAAACTTTCTACAGAGCTTCTTGAATATTTGAAAAGTACCTTATGAAAGAACGGTCCAGTTAATTTTAGAAATCATTTATTCTTATATACACAAAAAATAAACTGAATGAACAAAATATATGACCAATGACTATATGCTCGCGTGACGTAGATGGATATAGTTATAAAAGTTAATACTTTTAACTGATCTATAAACAAGTAATATTAACTCCAACAAAATTATTTTGTATAAAATACTTACACGGAGAACTTTAAGGGCTTCTTCGCAAACCTGCATACCCCTCGATTCAAAGACTTCTACACATCCTAGATACTGTCAAAAAATCAATTACATTATTCATCTATTAGTAAAGTATTTTATAGATAAAAATTGATTTTTATAAGGTCTTTGTATAGGAGAATTAACGTTTAATAATTAATACAGCAAATTAATATAAACTATAAAAATACTACTATAATTATACATTCTTGAAACAGAATTATTGAAAAAATGTAATTATTTTAAACAATATTATAAGTAATTCTACGTAAATAATAATTTCTAATAATATTAGCCTGAGAATTAATTAATTAAAGATTTATATACAATTGTCCCTAAAGCAGAAAAATCATGTTAAATAACTAAAATAACGTCAATCATGACGCTAATTAAATAAAACTAATTAATTCTTAGCTCTCATCTTAATAAATTCTTTTATTTCAATAAATTATTAATAATTCTGATACATCTGGTTAAAGATAGTATAATTGATGTACACACTTGGTATCTTTATTAATTTTTACCTTAACGTGAAAAGCACATGTAGCTGAACGCACTGCACTTTCATCCGCTTGCCATTGGTGAGGTTTACTAGACTCGGGCACATGAGGGTCTTTCCGCCGCCGGAAACTATCCCGGAAGCTTCGTCGAAGCCGATCCATTCTTTTTCCCGGCGACCTCTCGCGCTTCTGTAAAAAAAAATAGCGAAACATAAAAACACGTTTTATTTCCTACAATTTGAACAATAGGTCAAACGGTATTAAATGAAGAACTTTCCCTTAGCTATGACAAAAAATGAATTGCCCATGACAAATAAATTTAGAATTGTCAGATGCTAATTTTTATATAATATAAAAATTGTTCGATTGCATAAAATTATCTAATATGCAAAGATATAAACAAGATATTAACTCAATATATAAAACATTAATAATATATTTATTATAAAAACAAAAACTAACATATAATATATATGTATACATATATATGTAGTACAATATTTGAACATCATATAGAAAATATCCAGAATAATTTGACCTCATAAATATTCCCAGTAAACACTAATTAACAGTAATATAATATTATATAATAATTTCCCACTTAACAATATAAATGCAATGCAGCACTTATATTGTTGAATAGAAAATTATATCATTGATATTATATTACTGTTAATTAATATTTACTACGATTTTAATACATAACCATTTATCAAAAAAATTGACAAAATATATTTCTTAAATTTTGTAAGTTTTAAGTCGTGTGATAAATGCAGTGTTATATAAAAATGTTCTTTAAAAAAAATTAAGTAATGTATTACGATATTACATTAAAAAATTTAAATAAATTTTAATTTGAATACAGATGTTAATAATGTTGCTGAGATTACATTTCACCTGCTCATTGTCCAAATTGTAAGCAATTAATAAAGGTCAAGTCACTAGGGAAATCTCGAAATTAGATCAGAGCAACAAACATGGTGTCCACAAGGAACGACGTCTCTGTTAGTTGAAATTATCTTTTGATAAAATTCAACATTCGACAATGTAATCAGTCAAAGCAAAAGCCGCGAGCAAATTCTCAAGGGATGCGTCCAGGATCCACCCGATGAATCGTTAAGAGTGGAGCTTGAGAAAATGTCCAAAACGGCCACTGTCTGGCAACCGTTGCGCCGAATCGCCAACTTGGCAAAGCCCTGTGATCGAATCTTGAGACCCGTTCCCAAAGAATCCTTTATATCGGAACCCTCCTTTATATCGGGTCTCCCCTAACACCGACCGCGGATCTACCCTTCGAATTGGCGACACCCCTAAGTCGACGGATTGCGAACGGAGACACGTTAAGACCTTTCTCGTTGATGTTCTACGTTTTTTCCCTTCGTCATCGACATCTCCCATGCTTTTCGTTTCTTTATCATAACTTTGCAAGGTTAATTGGACAATGTTATGTCACCTAATCAGAAATATCATTACACAGATTTTTATATTATTAAAAATAAAACTTAAATTAATCGATTAAAAACTCGTGTTCTGTTTATATTAATATCATATGATGTCAGGAGACACTACCGCGTCTTCTGACATGTTCAAAAACTGAAGTAATACTCATCTTTCAATTTTTCTAATCAAATTTTTTAAAATCATCTAGATATATTACAATAATTTGATTTTTCCCTTCTTCCCTTTTTTCTGTAAAAATATAGTGAACTTACATATTTCTGTAAATTATTGCTGTATCAAATTAACACATGGTACATATGTACGTAAGCATTTCCACGAGTTTCTGTTCTAGAGAGTTCGTAGACTGACGATGATTAATGATTGGCTTAATTATCTGCTTGTGAAAGATACACTGCGCAATAATAGGTATTTACTGCAGTATACAGAATATATTAATATTATTCATTTTCTCTCAGGATTAAATAACTTTACCAATTTTAAAGTAAATTTTCATTAGCAAAAACTGAATAAGAATCTTTATTTATCACAATTATCTCATTTCAACATTACATTTTTTTTAATTCTCAAAATAGGTACATATTAAAAATAAATAAAAATAAAGATTAACAAAAACAGAATTTAAATAACTACTTTTTAAAATTTTAAAATTTATACATCTTAAATATTAAGTACATAATATTAGAATTCTGTATTACGTGGTATATAAATTCACACATTATAATAAGCATAGTAATCTAGCTTTGACCGTAGATGGCTTAGTAAATCGTAAATTATTACGGTTTCCTTATTCTTGTTGTTTAAGTACATAATATTAAGTGTTTTATGAAGTGTTAATAGAAGAAATTCTAAACTTTTGAATTTTTAAAATTAATTGTAAGAAGAAATATATTTATATGAAATTCTTCAGTGTACTCTGCATTTGTGATATCACTCGCACGTGTTTTGCACAACTGGTCATATAGATAGAATTCGGATGACATCATACATTAGATGACAAGCACATGTATTCTAAGTTTGCGATGGATGTCCAGATATTTATTCGATACAGTTAGACGGGTGTTACTCATTAGAATGTAATTATTCTATCGAATTATTGTAGTTCACGAACTGAGCTGATAAATCGTGAGACTAAACACGAGTAATAAACTTATATAAGCACACATAGATACATAACATATTATAATTTTCGCGTTACTATCCTATTTAAAAACAATCATAAAAAATCGAGAAGTACTTAAGCCAATAAATTTAAAATCGTTATTAAATATATGTATCGTATGCGAATCTTGCACATGATGAATTTATTATTTAATATTATATTATGTGAGATAAATTTTTGAAAAGTTTCTGAAATCTTACGTAAAGCTTCAATGATAGCTTAAAAAAACCACTATCTTATCTCACCCTCGAAATATATGAGGGCGCGGTTTAACTCTATTTTATACGTCGCTCCAGATAATGAATATCAGTAAGAAGATCTAAATATGTCCCTTACGACCGCATCCCCTAAATAACTCCTGGATATGACATGGGAACAGTTATTAAAGAAGACGCATACATTTTGGATTTGTTCCATTTAAATTTCTATAGTTAAGTAACAAAATACACCTTATTTGTATCGGCATTTTAAAAATATATAATGACGTGGTGTTTTTTAACAAATACAAGATAATTTTTATTTAACTAACTCAGACGATAAGTAATTTAAAAAAAATAGTTTTAGTACTTAAATACAATATTACATCCAAAATTATCATCTCGATAAGTGTAATAAACAAAAAGCAGTAACAAATAAAAGGTTCTTAAGATATTTAAATTATTACAAACATTTTAAGATATTTAAATTGCTTCTTTCCACATACCTACATATAGAAAAACAATTTCTTTGAATTTAATAAATTTTATTATATCCAAATAAATTTGATATTTCAAATGGTCCAAACAAATCAATGTTCGAATCAATAAGAACAATTATTTAAATTTGAAATAATATAGGGGGCAGTTGCCAAATAAATATCATCTATTTTTTATTATAATTTCGATTTGGCATTGTTTTGTCAGCAAATAAACGTTTGAAATTGTAGTTTAAAGTTAATTAATTTCGAACGCTTATTTTACATGGTTAATTTTTTACTAATAACAAATTTTAATTTGTTGTAAAAAAATATTATGATTTATAGGCGATCAGTATGCATTCGGCAACTCTTTCCTATAGCCTTGTCTAAAATACCTTATTTATTATTAAATAGACAATGTTTACCTTCGGTATTCGTACGACCAATTTGTACTGTAAGTACATAATTGATATAGCACATACTACTCGTTTAATCTTGTTGTTAAATGTATAAACCGTTGTTTCTGTAATTTTGGCTAATAAAAAATGTTGTTCCAAGAAAGCATTTGTATGTAACAATCTCTATTAATATATTTTGCCATTTTCAAATAAATAATTTATTTTATTCTATGTACTCATTGTATAACCAAATAATATATTATTTTATTAAAAGATATTATTTCAAATAATAACGTTATTTCTGACAAACAATAGATATTTCTCGAATGAACCAATAAAAAGTTTTATTCATACAAATAATGTTTCATACAAGTATATGTCGTTTCAATAAAACAAATTTTGTCAAGTAGGAATACTAAATCCAAAAAGAAATCTTTTTTCTGTGTATCATATACCTAAATGATTTGGTGAATTATATGTATAAACTTTGAATAAAGTTTAGAGTTATTTTTTATTGTACAAAATAACAAAAGTGATTATACATCGATTGACTGTAAATAGAAAACAAGTCGAAACAGTATTTAACACGCAACGAAAGACATATGGTATGTAATAACTATCATTTTAGAATCAAGACCAGACATACACAAGACATCTTCGATAAAGGATATGATTTGCTCGTAAAAGTTACTTTCACCTCGGAGTCTGCATATCACAATCATGTAAGTCTCCATCGGGTAATCAAAACAGAAATGAAAAGGATTGTGTGTGTGTGAATATGTGTGTAGGATAAGATACACTTGAAACAAATTTAATCATACACACACACACACACACACAGAAAGAAGAAAAATCTATATAAATATTTTATATGTATATACAGTAAATTCGGAATTTATAATGTCAAAGTGCGTAATATTGTATTTAACAAAAATTATACAATAAAATATATAAATATACAACCACAGTAAGAAACAATTTTATTACATTTCTATAATAAAATTTACTAAAGTACAGTTATTTCAATATTTTGATGCAAATTATACGAAAGAATTGTTAAGAATTTAGATAAAAAATTAATGCTTTATAATAAGCTTTAATAAAGTTATTATCATCATGGTTATTAAATCGAGAGCACTATCACGTCAAGAGAGACTAACGAAGGTACGATAAAGCGCAGTCCATCAAGGACATCGGTAGATTTTAGATTGCATGTCACGTGTCTCCCATGAAGGACCATCGAGGGAACAGATCGGCATTATCATGCACGAGTAGCTGCATCCCAGGTTTTTTTTCCGAAGCAACACTTCTCCGTGGAAGCGATCACATCTGGGATCTCGTACTCAATTAGAATAATATCACCCAATGAAAATAATCAAACCCCCATGCAACGAAGCGATACCATGCAGCCATCGCACGATAAACTAGTAATAGCTATAACGTGCGAAAGCAAACGCTCTCAACGTAATCGGTTTAGCGAGAC